AATTTCTTATAATTGCTTTTCAGTAGAAAAAACAACAATTGTCTAAATGCTGCTGAAGACTTTGTCCTTCATAAAGTCACCTGTTCAAATAATACTATTGATTTCACTTTGAGAAAGACTATGCTCTTATTGTATAATTAAATGTGAAAAAATAAGATAAAATGCTTGAGGAGCAAATGTTCTACATGTGGTACAAAAGGCTATTATTAATTTTTTTGGAGACAGGGTATCACTATGTAGCCCAGCCTGTCCTCAAACTCATGGAGATTCTCATGCCTCAGTCTTCCAAGTGCTAATGTTACGGGTGTGTGCCAAAATGCCCGGCTGTCAAATCATTTTCTCAGAGTAGGAAGTCATTACACTTGAAGGGGGCGTCAACCAAGAAAGAATCAATTATGATAAAATACAGAAAGTGCCCATGTTTATAGCAGCACAGTTTGTAATAGCTAAAACTTGGAAACAGCCCATTTGCCCAACAGTTGGAAACTGAATAAAGAAGATGTGGTTTTTCTATTAAATGGAATATTACTCAGCCATAAAGAACGAGAAAATAGATTCATTCATAGGAAAGTGGATACATATTGAAGATATACTCCTAAGTGAAATAAATAAGTCACACATGTGTAAATACCGAATAGTTTCTCTGGTGTGAATAAACTGCAATAATACATAAGATCCTAATAAGATTACTGACATTGAGAAATGGGAAGAAAGGAGCTAAAGGTGGAGGGAAGGTGGGATGGGTAGGGGAAGGATAATAAGGGAAAAGAAAAAAAAGTGAGATAATGAAAAAATGGAAATAAAGTGTTTGTAGATGGGGAGGGGAGGAGGGGGTGAAGGGAGGGCAGGGATAAGGGGAAAAAATGAGAACCAAGACTTGTCATGTAGAGGTACAAGATCCCAACAATGAATGTGACTGTACTGTATCCCTAAAATGTACCAATAAACTCAATTAAAGCTGAAAAAATTAAAAAATTTAAAAAAAGGAATACAGAAAGTGGTATGACTAATTTCCAATATAAAGACAGGATATCGGTGGCAAAATCAAAATCAGAATGTGGAAATCAAGAATAAGTGTGAGAAGAAGAAAAGCCAGAGATGAAGATTCAGTTAAAAGCAATTATTGGCAATCCCATGCAGTTACCATTATTTTCCTACATCCTGTTTTAAGGAGTTTGTGTGCACATAGCAGTGAAATATACTTTCTGAGGCTAGGAGAGGCAGGTCTAGACAAGGTTGGGTCACTTAGGTTGGGAGGTGGGATCACCGGTAGTTTTTCAGTCTTCTTGATTCATTTTCCCTATTCCAAGACCATTGGGGGAACTAGCCACACTGCAGTCTTAAAAGAATGGGTTCGTTTTTATAGCAGTGGGGTATTCATACAAGATTTGATTGTACGTCATAGACAATTATTGGGGCAATCTCACTTTTCTGGTGATAAGATACTCCAATATATACAAAGAGTAAAGAAACGGAAGTTCTCAAATCAGTAAAATAATATTTGATAATACTGTTTGAACTTCTTACTGATATTGTGTGACGATTCATTTTCTTGTGTGTGGAACTAAGGATTGAATCCTGAACCTTTGCACTGAACTGTATCCCAGGCTACTTTTTAACTTTTACATTTTGAGACAAGATTTGGTTGAGTAGCTACATTGCCCAGGTTGATCTCTCTTATGGCTTGTGTATAGCCTCATGCTGTCACAGGCGGAGAGTTTCAAAGGTGGCTGGATTAGGGTGTCTGATGCTGGCATTAAGGATGCCCCACCAGCCTAAAGGCAGGTATCCTTCAAGGGACAGGAGGAGGGCGGGTTTGCTGCTCCTGCTGCTTACTCCCTTCTGCCTGCCGTGCAATGCCATGGACTGTTTATCCTCTGTGTTGCCCCTCTGCCAAGCCACCCTGCCTTAGAGCCAGCCAACTATGGCCTGAAAGCTCTACAAATTGTGAGGTAAATACACCCTTCCTCCCTTAGCTTGTGAGTGAGGGATATTTGTCTCAGCAACAGAAAAGGCAAGCTCTAATTTGCAATCCTGCTGGGTCAGGCTCTCACAGTGCTAAAATAATTTTTAATGTTTTCCCACTTCCTTAAAAATAGAAAAAAGTGAGGAGAAACAAATTATAGCACAAATTTCTGAGAACACACAGTTTGCCTGCTTTTCCCATTTCTCTTCACCTCAACAATAAACATCCTGATTTGTGTATGTTAAATGTTGCTTTCACTCTGAGTGATCTGCAGAGTGTATTAACTTAGGGGAAATTCTTTAACTAAAATGACAATAAGAACATAGAAAGTCATTTTGTACATACAGAACTGGTCATTCTTCTAACACCTACGTGTACACCTTTTATTGCCACATGCTGGCAGTGCACGCAGTTTACAGTCATCTTGGGGAGTGTGTGCAGACTGCAGCTTGTTTCTTTCTTTAATTCCTCTCCCCTTACCTCCTCGTCCCCGCACCCTCCTTGCCCTACACTGGTTTACCTTTTTCTGATATTATTGATCTTAGCTCCTGTTCGTGCATATAATGTTTACATTCATTGAGGGCATTTGGTTCCTGTCCATGTCACATCCTTATTCCACTCACGAAGGTCATTGTGCTTCCATTCTGTCATCTGGAAGGACACACGTGACAAGCTTATGTGCTGACTGTAACCACAAAGTGAGTACAGAAAGAACTTTAATAGTACCTGATTCAGGCAGATCATTCAATAGTTATATACTTGTTTTAGGAAAATTATTTGCTTTTACACCTCACGTAACGTGATGAAGACTTAATGTTTATTTTCCGAAGAATTAGCATTGCAGGTTAGTAGGCTGGGCATCGAATCTTACAGTCTTTACACTTACGTTGCTTTTATTTGTCATCTAGTGACACCGCACATCATTTATCTACTTGTGCCACACATGAATGCAGAGTGTCACTCCTGCAGGAATGGGTAGCCTAAAGCCTGGGAGCCACCCAATCCTATGATGACATTACTGGCCTTTCTATGACCTCACGCTTGAGATTGTTTAGTGCATACAAAGTCTGGGGATCCCACTGACCTGACTGAGAAAGGAATTGTGAAAGTTACTCAATCGCAGTGCTGGCTCCGTCCCTCACTTCGCCATGCCTCTGGTCTGAATATAAGAGCACAGATTAGCAAAGGCTGGCTCCTGGTGGTCTTGGTGGACATGTCTGACACTATCTGGAAGTCATGGAGGCCCTTGGGGCAGTCCAGAATGCCACCATGGCTAAGACTCCTGTGAGTCCTACTCCTAGCCTTTCCGAAGAAATCCCCTGCCTCTGCCTGTCCGAGTTACTTGTCCAACCCATCTTTCCTCAGTTCCTCAACTTTCCTTACTGTTTCTTTCAGATAATTCCCTTGGGGAAGCCACACAAAATCTTTCAGCCTAAATGAAGAGCAAGTGTGCAAGGTTTATGGAGACAAGGATTTAAACTTTGGTAAACATAACTTCTTTTTTTCTACTGCTATAGGAGATTGAACCCAGGGCCTTCACAATGAGCTGCATCCCAAGTCCTTTTGTGTACTTTATTTTGAGGCAGGGTCTTGCTAAACATGACAATCTTAACTCAGTTTTACAAACATGAGTTACTCAAAAAACGACGGTGGGACTGGAGGAATCTTTCAGGAAGTTGTTCAGTGTCATTTCTCACACCAAAATAAATTTCCAGTAGATAAAAAATTTAAAGTACTACCATACACTGTAAATAAACATTTTTATGATTTAGTCATGGGTACCGCACAAACTCCAGGTTTATCTTAAAGAAATTTATCTATTAAATTCAGATATAATGTGAAATTCTGAGAACAACTATGACAAAAAAAACAGTTAAGCTGGCAGGTATGACAGGAGACTTGTCCTGCACTTTTCTCAGATAGTAACCATCACAAAATCCTCCTTAAAGAAGCACAACTCTGCACAAAAAGCGTCATCACCTGGTAGAACACAGAAACACTTGTACAAGGTCATTGGCCCAACAGCTGTCGTTATAAACAGGTGCCACTTTGTGGCCAAGGATTATTGTGTCTCAAAATATCTGATGTAATCCTCCCCATTTTTGCCCTTAACAACCCCCCCTTGTATCACTTCCTCAGCTGCACTCAGTTTATTACGGCATGCAAATTCCTCCTACAACGCCATTCTATTCCCAAATAAATGTCAGTATTCCAATAAAAATCTCTCTTTCAGAATGCTGTTATGTGTACGCAAATTCATAAAACTTTTTTCAGAAGTGAGCAATGGGAGCCATGAGCTTTAAAGGTCTCTGGGGGCAGGGAGATGATCTGAGCTGTGTGGGAAAGAAGAAGATCTCACTGGGGACAGGGGGCTTGGTGCAGGAAGAAACGAATTCACCTCTGAAGTCCAGCTCCAGGGGACCGTTCTTTCCCAGCTTGTCAGCACCCTCTTTGGCTTTTGTTGGGAGCACAAGTTGGGCCAGAATTGGGGCGGATCATCAGCTCCAGTCCAGGATCAGCTGATGACAGAATCACTGAGGATAGGGTTACTGGGTCCTGAGCCATGCTCCCACCAAGGGGAGTGGCTGACTCTGTCCTGTCCCCCAGGGGGCTGACCCTCCTCAGGGGTGTCACAGAGCAGGCCACTGGGGACGGTCACTGGGCCACTTCCCCTCCATTGGACCTGGAATCCTTCCTTAGCGTCGTGCTTTGTTCCCTGCAGTCAGAGGAGGTGACAAGGCCAACTCCCCTACCCCAACAGCACAACATCCCTGCCCTTTTGACCTCATCCCCCCACCCCAGCAGCACAACATCCCTGCCCTTTTGACCTCATCCCCACCATATAAGAAGGCTTATGACATCCTTGTTATCTATGTCCACATGTTTGTTATTTTTACTAACTCCTCCTCTATTTCAGCCTGTAGATTTGTGTCCCATGTGGGATGTTGCCATTTGTTCTCAGAGAACGACAGCTAGAAAATAGGGAAATGGAGTAGTTGATAAAAAAACAACAAAGGGATAGAATTGCTGCTCAGCTTTATTTTATGAAGTGAGAAACATTTAATAGTGTCATTCAGCAACAGGGAAAGAAAACAAGCAGGCCTGAGGAACCATAACTAATAAAGGGTAAAACATAGGGCCGAGGGGGAATAGGACAGTTAATCCAGTAAACAAGCCCTAGGGAAGATGCATTGTCTGGCGTGGGATATACAGGCTTCAGTCCGTTTCTTCTGCTACGATGGTGGTAAGGAAGGGTCTCAAGAGCTCCATGATTTGGAAGACGGCACAAAGGTCTTCAAGGAAGGAGGAGAACAGTGCATGCAAACAGTCAAGGTCTTCAGAAACCCATCTCCTAAAGTAAGAGAAAATGAAAATGAAAACTTAAGCCAATGGTCAGAGTCCACAGACACTCCATTTAGGCATAACTTTTTTTTCCATTTTTGTTTTGAGAGGGGGCAAATGCAGGGCCTTGCACTTCTCAGGCAGGCTTACCCCAGCTGAGCTAAATGCCTGAACTGTCATTATCTGTTATACCTTTTAGTCTTTATTTATGTGCAATAGGAAGAAAAGGTGCAAAGGGGAAGGGGAAGGGGTGGGGAAGGGAATAGTAGGTGAATGGAATTAATGTGAAAATAGAAAAAAATGGAAGGAAAGTGCAGATGTGCAGTGGTCGACCGGTTGAAGGAAGGGTAGGGCAATGGGGGAAAAATGAAGAACCAAGACAGACTATGGAAAGGTGCAAATTTCCAATGATTACTGTCATTGTACGGTATACCTTAAATGTACCAATAAAGTTAATTAATAAAAAGAAATAAAATAAATCCCGGGACCTAGGCATAACTCTTAAGAGACTCCCTGTCCCCATTAAAGGGCCCCTCTGAGCACACTCCCTGGAACCCCAATCCCTTGTAGGTGTAGGACTCACACCCTCATCAAGCAGCCATTCACTGTGAGCTCCCTGTGAATCTCAGCAGTGTCCTGAAGGGGAGCCAGGGATCTTCGGGTGATCTCTGCCTCTATGGATGACAGGAAAGGCACCCTGAGGTAGCTGAGGGAGAAACAGTTAAGGCGCAATCCGGGATTGACTGGGTGTGTTGGTCCTCCTGGACCTCGCAGCCGCCTTCCCCGGGCTCTCTCAGGCTGTCCCTAGGGCCCCACCAGGCATCGCCCTCGCTGTCCCCCTCCGCGTGCGACCTGAAGGCCCTCAAGCCGCGGTGTAACCTTAAGGCCAGTGTAGCGCCTCCACTTTCTCCTCACCACAGGCTTTTTCTCTCTCCCTTTGGGCCCCTGTGTCCCCATCCCATGTTCTGGAGTCGTCCTGGTCACTCCTCTCCCTCCCCAAGCCACGCCCCTCTCAAATTCCTGCCCGCCCCAGCCTTGGTGCCTCCCTGGTGTTCCCCAGGTCGCAGGCCACAATGGCCACATCCAAAGGATACAATTCATGCTGGTGTGGCCCCATCCTACTGACCACAAGCACAGCTGGCCCACCGGACCCCACTCCGTGAGGTATCACCACAATCTGCGAAACTTCTCCAAGGTCTATGCCCTCCTCAGCAGCCACATCAGCAAAGATGCCTTGGCTGGGGTCACCCTGGTCATCTCCCTGGCCTTCCCCGCCACCCGCACCTCCGTCATGAGCCGCCATCGCTGTCTGCCTCTTCACCTCAAGCGCACCACCTAACCGTCACAGGCTTCTTTCACTGAAGTGGGCCCCACATAAAGCCCCGCCCCACATAAAGCCCCGCCCCTTTCCACCCACAATTCACCTTGCCACACAAGTGGCACATGCGCAGGCAGGCCCTCACGTCGACTGCTTGCCGCCAAAATGGACTCTGTGGGAGACGTCTTCAGTTAATCATGCCTAGCAGGCGGCCCCTCACCGAGCGCTTCCCAGGAGCACTTGCGTCACCACTGTTTGCTTACATCAATTAATTCCTAGGGGTCTGGTCCCCTCCAGACAGGCCAAGCCCCAAGTCTGAGACTCTTTTAGCCACATAGAGACTGAGTCCTCAGGAGACTCAGCTCTGTAACAGGGGAAGCAGAGCAGGCTCTGCAGAGCCCCTGTGCTTTCAGATCCGGACACCATTGGGAGGCTTCTTGATCCATGCATGCCCCCGCTGAGCCTGCCCAGTGGACCAGGAAGTCCCCAAGATGCCCACAGGGACAATATCACCCATGGGCCACTCTGCTGGGCTGTCCACTATCACTGAGCTCTGGGAGGGAGGTAAGTGCCTCTGGGCAAAGTATACCCCTGCCCATCCTGTCACACATGTGGTCCAGCCTTGGGGACACAAAGATGTGGATATAGATCCTTGCCAGTCCCCGACCTCAGGTCACATCCAAGCCTCTCCCTGGGGCTAAGGTGGCCATTAGCATCCTGTTGTGCCTCCTAGAGAGGGAGTCTGGGGTAGAGAGGTGCTGTGTGTGTAGGTGAGCTGTGGGTGATGATGAGAATGATGGTCCATGAGTGGCTGGCAGCCCTGCCACCTCCCCATGGCCGGGGCAAATGGCAGTACCCTGGTCAGGGTCGGCAGGAGGGACAGAAAGGCCACCGCTCGTCCACATGCATCCTAGCCACTGGATGTTCTACTGTTATGGCCCTCAGAAGCTGTCTCTTCCTCCCTCCCTTCCTCCCTCCCTCCTGTTCCTAGGAATAAAGTCTTGAAACAGTCTGCTGAGCTGAAGATGCCTGGGGCATTTGACTGGGAGGTGACCCTGTGTCCCAATTCACCTTGAACAGGACAAGGCATTAGGAGAGGCAAACATAGACCACAGTCCTGCAGATAAACAAGAAAGCATCAGAACTCCAAATTCTCTAAAAGGCCTGTCACATAATTTCTTTCCTTTGTTCTAAGCACCACACTAGAGTCCAGTAGGACAGCATCTTGCCCTCTTCATCTAGGTGTTACACAGAAACTGCAAGAAACAAATGGGAGAGGAGAAGGAGAGAGGAAAGGAAAGGAAACTGCAAGCAATATAAATTGTTTCTTTGCAAAGACTCCGAAGGCTCACAAAATTCTCAGCTGTAGTGACAATGTAGCCAGAATGGTGCACATCTGAGTCTTAAAAATACTATCAGACATGTCCATCGCACCTGTGAGGAAAGTATTCTTTGCTAATCAGTGCTCTTTTATTCAGAATGAAGGTATGAATGGCCCTATTAGGAACCCAGGTAACACTGTGTTGTTTTTTTGTTTGTTTCTTTGTTTAGCTGTTTTCTTTTGTTTTCTTTTGCGTGTTTTAGACAGGGTCTTGCTATGTAGTTCAGGTTCACCTTGAACACGCTAATGTAATCCAAGCTGGCCTGGAACTCACGGCAATCCTCCTGCCAACCTTCCGAAGTACTTGTCTTTCCCACCATGCACAGCAGCACCATGTTTTAGTAATTTTCTGAATCCTTTTCAGAACCCAATTTTCTTTCTTGACCCTCTGTGCTTTCTTTGCGTGCACTAAAAGGCCCCACAGGCAAGGTTGTAGAAAGGTTAGAAGATTCCCTCTGGGCCTCCAGGCACTAATATAGTAGGATTGAGTGGCTTTTGGTACTAGGCTACCTAGGCCACCAGGAGAGAGTCAGTCACCCTTAGAAATGCTTCTGAGTGCAGTCTACGGCCATTCCACCCTGAACGTGCTGGATCTCCTCTGATCTCAGAAGCTAATCAGGGTCGGGTCTGGCTAGAACTTGGAAGGGAGAAATGGTTCTGAGTGCAGCAGATTTAACTCAGTGGTGCTACCATCTGCCTCACAAGCACAAGGCCCTGAGTTGAATCCCTAGTAAGAAAGAAAAAGAAAGATGAAAGCAGGAAGAAAGAAAGAAAGAAAGAAAGAAAGAAAGAAAGAAAGAAAGAAACAAACAAAGGCTTCTGAGGCATCCTGTCACCAAACTAGAATTTGCCCTCACAGTTTATGCACCCCAAGTTACCCAAAGGCAATATCTGAGTCCACTGTAGTTTTCCTATCTTGGTTATTTGTTTTGTTTTGTTTTTTTGTTTTGTTTGTTTGTTTGTTTTTTGGTGCTGGGGACCAAACTCAGGCCCTTGTGCTTACCAGGAAGGCAGCAGAACCACTGAGCCAAATCACCAGCTAGCTTTCCTATCCTGTAATGTGAATGGAAGACTATAGGCTTTTGCCATCTCCACATAAGAAGTGGTGGCAAATCATCTAAAACACCTCCAAATCCTGAGTCTGTGGCTAGAAACTCACACATCTTTGCTAGCTTTTGCTGGTATAGAGCTCTTCACTCATGGAACACAAAATGCAGCTCTGAGTGAGGTGAAAATCTATAATAGTACATAAGATCCTAATGAGATAATTGACAATGTGAAAGAGGTGAGGACACTTGTTATATGACAGGGAAGAGCTCACAGAAATAAATATGGAGAGAGCAGAAAGGCAGAAAGGACTGATATACGAGAAACCAAAGAGAGGAGGTCAGTGTCAATGGATCCCTCTGTAACATGGAAAGTAGAGCCTCATGTGACCTAGGAATAGGAGGGCCAACAAAGGCTTCATGTCAGAAGAGAGATTGACTCACTTGCAGATGACAACTCTGGCAAGGGAATGGGACAGAGTAGCCTTGTCGTGCAGGGTTTCTTTTGAAAGGCAGAAGAGGTACAAGGTTTCAGTGGTGCACAGGGGAGGTGTACTGTCCCACCTTCTGACCCTGAGGTCCAGGGTATGAAAGGAAAGGACAATTTTCCCTGGAGAGAACTGTGAGAAAATGGTATCCTTGGTAACTGTCATAGTTTATACAACTAACGTACCCCCAAAGGCCTCATGTGCTCATAGACAGGGCTTTTGGACAGTGACTGAATCACTGGGAGATATAAGACGACTTGATGTTAGGAGACGGGTTCTGGTAAGAAGAGGTAGGTCACTGTGGGCACGACCTGGAAGAAGACATATCTCATTTGCCAGCTTTTCATTTGTGCCTCTCTCCCTCCCCCCTTTTTCTCCTTCCTACTACCATGATTTGAGAAGGTTTCCACTGCACAGTGCCTTCCGCCATGCCATGAATGCCTTGGTGCCAGATATCCACAGACAACAAATATGCATCAAAATAAAAACCTCCTTTAATTTGTGGGTGTCAACTGTTGTATCCCAGTGAGGAGGAAAGAGTTAAAACAGATTTTTCTAGACTGGCATGGTGGCGCACACCTGTCATCCCAGCACTCAGGAGGCTGAGGCAAGAAGATCATTGTGAGTTCGAGACCAGCCTAAGCTACATAGTGAGTTCCAGGTCAGTCTCTACTACATGGTGAGACCCTGCCTCAAAAAAATTTTTTTTTCCAGGCAGACTGGTGTTATTGCTTTGCCTGCCTAAACATGTGGTTTAGAAGTCTTTGGAACTGGTTTGTGGGAGGAGTTTCGAAAGTTTGAAAAGAAGAGAGTGACTATAGAAGCCCTAGAAGGCTGTAAAATGAGCTTGATGGGAGATTCTGATTCTTAGAAGACCAGCATCTAGATACAAATGAAGATTGTAAATATCAGGCTCAGGTTTCAGTTTGGTACAAGGACCCCATTGGCAATTGGACTCAAGATCACGTGTGTGATGACTTACAAGAAAAGTTGTCTACATTTTGCTCATGTACTGTGACTTTGCAGGACATTAATATTAAGGGTAGTGGACTAATTAATCTGTAGAAGGAATTTGAAGGCAGCCCACTACTCATGCTGCAGCATGAGTACTGCTGGGAGCTCTCCATTTCAAATAAAAAGTAAACAGTATCTCTGAGTGATTTTAAAAGTTATGGATATGAGCAGAAAGCACACACCTATATAGTTGGAGCTGGAGCCTATAAAGTTTTGGCTCAGGAGAATTTGGTTGCTGAAAATATTATCATTTAAAGAAGTCGAGTATTGTATATCAGGACAATAGGAAAGATGACTTGATGATATCTGAAAAATCAGCAAGACCCCATCCTTCACAGGCTACAGCATGCAAAAGTGAAAGATTTGGCTATGAGAAGAGAGTCACATGGCCCACTGCTCAAGAAGGGCTGCCCAGGGAATTTGTTCTGTGGGATTTGGTTTACGGTGCTTAACCATCCAAGCCCTTTGAATCCTTGGCAGCAAGGATAAATGAGGGGCCAGCTACTGATCAACCTGTTGGCTGGCCTTGTCATCACACAGGTGGCACGAGTTTCACAGACATGCAGAATGCAATAGCTTGGGGTTCAGGCCCACTGCTCAAGAAGGGCTGCCCAGGGAATTTGTTCTGTGGGATTTGGTTTACGGTGCTTAACCATCCAAGCCCTTTGAATCCTTGGCAGCAAGGATAAATGAGGGGCCAGCTACTGATCAACCTGTTGGCTGGCCTTGTCATCACACAGGTGGCACGAGTTTCACAGACATGCAGAATGCAATAGCTTGGGGTTCAGGGAGGCTTTCACTCATATTTTTC